GAGAGGGGGGGGGGGGGGGGGGGGAGAGAGAGAGAGAGAGAGAGAGAGAGAAATCACCTGGCTTAGCACTAATGTCCATCACTGCTGTGATTGCTGGAAGCCAAGGGAAGTATCTGCAGGAAGTGCCTGCTTAGCCCCAGGCTCATAGTCCTTGGAACCTGCTTGGTATAGATAGAATTTATAAAGAATTTTCCTGACAGCTTGATGCCAACCTTTGTTGACCGTGTGCCAACAACTATTTTCAGTGGTGTGTGATTCAACTATATTGTATGCATTTTCATTGGAAAGAAAAAGAGCATATGTAGCTCCAAAGCTACTCCTGCCAAATTTCAAATTCCAAAAGCCGGGAGGCAGTAGAGCTTCTCAAAAGAAGGCTGTACATTTTTTAAATCTGGGAAAATATTTTTTGTGCAGCCTGCATCTTTGAAAACAACTGTAACAGTTTTGGTGAAACTTAAAAAAACAAACCCCCAAAACATAATTTGAAGTAGAATCTCAAGATGCTAAATTTTATCCCAAATAGTTAAACTGTGGCAAAATATACAAGTAATTCAATACACAATCTTATAAAGATAAGCATTAGCCACAGTAATATCACCACCACTTTCACTTCCATGTCTAAAGTTCACGTAAAGAGATTTATAATTTGTGACCATATTCCAACATGCATACCAATTTTGAGAATTAAGAATGTTAGCATTTTAATTATACATTCTCCTGCTTCTCACTGTAAGACTTTGTACAAGATTCAAGTTTTTAAGCATAATATTAATTACTAATTTAAGCATAATAATAAGCTATATACTATGTCTATAATACTAATAAAATAATAATACTAATAATATAATAATACTAATTGTCATTTTACTTTGCCTGAAAACAACACATGCTGAATATATTAGCTGCAATTGTATAACCCCTGTGAATAAAGCTTTTCATTTTTGAAAATTTTAAAATTAATTATTTTAATTTTAACTATCACTAAGTCTAAATATGGGATTTAGCCCAATCAAATTTTTAACTGCTTTAGATATATTCCACGTTTTCTATAACTACAGGAAATCAATGACTATTTCTAGACATTAACATAAGAAGAACATAAGAATGGCCATAATGGATCAGACCCAAGGTCCATCCAGCCCAGTATCCTGTCTGGGCTAACAGTATCCTGTTGGCTAACAGTGGCCAACGTCAGGTGCTCCAGAGGGAGTGAACTGAACAGGCAATGATCAAGCGATCTCCTGCCATCCATCTCCACTCTCTGACAAACAGAGGCTAGGGACACCATTCTTTACCCATCCTGGCTAAAAGCCATTAATGGACTTAACCTCCATGAATTTATCTAGTTCTCTTTTAAACCCTGTTATAGTCCTAGCCTTCACAACATCCTCAGGCAAGGAGTTCCACAGGTTGACTGTGTGCTGTGTGAAGAAGAACTTCCTTTTATTTGTTTTAAACCCGCTGCCCATTAATTTCATTTGGTGGCCCCTAGTTCTTATATTATGGGAACAAGTATACAGTATAACTTTTCCTTATTCACTTTCTCTACACCACTCATGATTTTATAAACCTCTATCATATCCCCCCCATTAGTCTCCTCTTTTCCAAGATGAAAGTCCTAGTCTCTTTAATCCCTCCTCATATGAGACCCGTTCCAAACCCCTAATCATTTTAGTTACACTTCTCTGAACCTTTTCTAATGCCAGTATATCTTTTTTTGAGATGAGGAAACCACATTGGTACACAATAGTCAAGATGTGGGCGTGCCATGGATTTATATAAGGGTAATAAGGATAGTCTCTGTCTTATTCTCTATCCCTTTTTTAACAATTCCTAACATCCTGTTTGCTTTTTTGACTGCTGCTGCACATTGCATAGGACATCTTCAGAGAACTATCTACGATGAAACCAAAATCTCTGTCTTGATTAGTTGTAGCTAAATTAATCCCCAGCATATTGTATGTATAGTTGGGGTTATTTTTTCCAATGTGCATTACTTTACATTTATCCACATTAGATTTCATTTTCCTTTTTGCAGAATTCATTCAACTTCAAAAATAAAAGCATACCAAAATTGAAGGTTATGTATTAGAATTCATGTTTTGAAAGACTCCAAGAATATAAGGAGTATTCCATTTTTATGAGGCAACACAACTTCATATTATACAAGCAAACAATAACAGTGTGCCTCCCAGAGTAGTTATGGACTCAAATACAAATGTATTTTCTGCACGGCCCATAGAACAAACAGTAAAACACCTAGAAATATTTAAAAGTCGGTAGACATCCTGCCCATGACAAATCAATACATATACAATTCATGTGAATTACAGATATTATATTTAGACGTATATTTTGCTGACTCTGTGTACATTAACCTCTTATTTATTGGTTTGGCAGTAGAACTATATGGCGGCTGGAGGTATTGCTGAGAAACTGAATCCTATGAGTTTCTGACAAATCTCTCACCCTAGCCTAGGTAAGAATTTCCTATGAACCTCAAAGAGAATTTGCACCTGAACTCTGCTTTCTTGAAATCAGCTCTCAAATCCTCTTTTTAGATCCTCTCCTCAACCCTTTCCCCCAAAAGGCACAGGCATTGCTTATAGCAATGGGATTTCACTCCCAACGATGTAAACCTCCACACCTTGTTATAAACAGCCATATGCCCATTCTTTGAACATACTAAAGCTGAACAAGAAAATCCTAGAACAAAAAGTGCTGCCATTGTTCACAGGAATGCAGAATGTTACAAAACAAATGGAAAAGAGGGACTTAGGATCTGTTACAGGATAAGGAGTTGATGAATACCATCAGTGCTGTATAAATTTAATGTGTAAGTGAATTGTTTATTACTTTCCCTCCTATTTCTCCATGGAAATTTGTAGAATTTTGTGAACTGCTCTGAGCAGTGTATCACTAAGTAACTAAAATTTTAAGCTTACCTTCTATATGAAACTGTATGTGATGGAGGAATTGCTGCAGATGAATTTGAGTGTTTTTATTAATCTCTAAATTATTCTCTCTTAAAACAAAACAAAATTGCTATGGAAATTGACAGACATGTTCTAAAGAATTATGACCACAAGAGTAGTACAACTATTTTTCAACTATTTTCAGTTTTAATTTCTGTTTTTCAAAAATAAACTATATTAGAGTCCCATTTTCTTAATAAACGCCAACTTATGTCTTCAATATGCCACTTTGTAAGTTTATTAGTAATTTGCTTCAAGTATTTCAAGTTATTTAAAGTTAAAAGATTCAAAGATTAAACTGTTTAGAGCTATTTCTACAGCTCTAGTCTGGAGGGAAGATCACAAGCTATGTACATTAAAAATGTAATAATTACAACCTTTTAGAAACACATATATAACACATGGTTTTGGCCAAACACTTAAGTCCAATTGTTTTATCAAAGAAAAACAGGAGAGTTCTATTTACTAGTTACAAGAATTTCAACAGCAATGCTAAAACAATGCATTCCACATTCTTTTGCTTAGAAAAACTACCCACTGAAACCCAGGCAAATTTCATATTAGGAAATGGTTGGCAAACAGGGCACTACCCTGCCATTGCTAAGCCACATCAATAAAAATAATATTTTCTTTGAAATTCTTAGGACGATACAAATAAATCCTTTATAGTTAGAAAATGAATATTTATTTCAAACATGTACTTCATTATAAACAAGTGCATATACTTTGGGGCTTCACCCAACAATAATTCTCAACCATATACTTCTTTGCCCCAATATCCTTTCTCTCCCTTCAACATTGTACCACAAAACTTTGTAATGGCTCATTCACACTACAGTTTATTTATAACAGTGTCTCTGTTGGGGAGCAGGAGGGAATGCAACATCAGAGACTCTCTCTCAAAAACCCCCACAAACCATAGTTAAATTGCACTTCTGGTTATTTTAGCACATTCATTCTGCTGCTGAATAGATTTCAACTCCAAAGTTCATAAACCAAATTGTTGCTAGTATTCACTACAGAAACGCAAACAGTAGCAGGTAATTACACAAGTTTCATTTGCAGTATGAAGAAAGATAAGGACAACTATAATTTTACACATTACGGTTGTTATTTTAAAGGGAACATCAACATATTTTACCTAATAAAATATGCTTTTCACTTTTGCATAGAAAAGAAGGGAAACTATTTTCTGCTATAAATGATGCTATCCCTTGAATCCTAAAATGAATGCAAACAGTTTTGCAAATGCTAACCCTATCTTGCCCAATGTGAAAGTGAAGTAAATTAGCATCTTTTTCCTAGAAAGATTACAAATTTAAATGATTATGCATTGGCATTAATGCACTTTGCATCTTGTTTTCCTTAATGAACAGGAAATTAATTTCTATCTGTTTTACTACACTTGGAACGCAAACTTTTTTAGGGACTCCGATTCTGATGGCAGATAATCTTGAACATAATCTTGGTATGTGTTATAGTATCTTTTTATAGTTGATTTTATAGATACTTGTACCTAAAAGGAATGGTACTTGTATCTTATGATTCTCCTATAACCTTTAACCAATACTATTTTGGCAAGACAGGAAGATTCCTAAATGCTTCTCAACCATGGCGTCCATTTGTAAGTCAGTCATACACACACATGCTTGCCCACCCACCACTTTTAAAAGAAGGTTTCTGTTCTAGGCCAAGGAAAAAATAAACCATTAACTCAAATCATTTGTGAAAATGGTCATCAACACTGTGGTCAGTATGTTAATTCTCATCAAGAGATACACTGTGATCATGCAGGCTTTCCACTCCACCAGTTGTCATTAGATAAAACATAACTGAGCATATGTCATGCAGCACCACCAGTCACTGAGTAACACAGCTGTATTTTAACTCTTAAAATACTACAGTTAGCTCTTATCTGTTTATCAGGACAAAAGACAAGGGAGCTTCTGAGTGAAGAAATCAGTAAAATAAACTGGAGGCCAAAATCTGGGAATATTCTAGCACATTGGTGATTTTGGTGTCTCCATTTTCCTAAGTAACCACAGTTTGTGCTGGCTGTTGTCCTCAAACAGTCCCATATCCCCCGTCCCTACCCCTTTTAAATTACAACAAACAGCCAGTTCTGGGGGGACTAAGTGTAATCGCTTCTACACTGTGGCTTCACAGTATGACTAATATACCAACAGCTACTTTAATCCAAGCATGACATCTTTCAACACATTTCTTAGTATATTTCTAAGAGTTTCTAAGACATTTTTAAAAGTGAGAGCATTACAAAAGAAACTATTCCTTTTTCTGATATTTTAAAAGCACACGTTTTCCATGCTGAAAGCAGCTCAGATGAAACCCTTTTCTTCTGTGATCTTTGAAATTTGAATGAGACTCTCACGGCAAGACACTGCAGATAGAATCATAGACACACAGAAGACTAAAAATGCTTATCTAAAATAAAATTCAACAGTCAATTCTGTCTCATGCTATATGAGAACAGCAAAAGCACAGTGCTCAGCTAAATGTCAGCTACCCTGGGTCATCCACCAGTGACAGTTTTAACATTGCTGTCTGTGAGACAGCTCCAACATTGGCCAGTAGACTGTAAACATTTACTTAAGAGACCTCCCTCAGAGAAAAACTCACACAATATAAAATGCCTCTCCTGTTTCTGCTTATTGTCTCTGATTTCTCACCCTCAACAGATTCATGGTCCTATGTTCCTCTCCATCTTTACAGACATGGGAAGGGGAATACTGCCCAAGAACCTAGAGTAGAAAAGCTGTCTCAGTGGCTTCACTCCATTCTTTTGCTAATCCTCCAGGGGAACTTTTTTTTCTTTTTTGTGGTGAGATGGATGGCAGATGTTACAGCTGCTCATCACCGCACTGTGTTCCTCCCAACCCTTCACTTGCTCAGTCTTGAGTGGATAAGTTAAACGTTATTTGTTAATCAATCATTGATTAACTCACCCCAACTGTAGTACATAAAATGCTCCATTAATCATTTAAGATGGCCATTGAGGATTCTCTTTAAAGGTCGTGCTGGCAGGCCACTAAAGGAGGCTTGTAGAGCTATTAACTGTATAGAGAACTGGAATACTAACTGATTTTGAGGACAGATCCTCTTCTAAGATCAAAGGGAAAACCCTGCTCACTTATGTGAAAATTAGGACATTCCCTGAATGTAAGCTCCAAGTTTCCAGTCCTATATGGGGTCAAAAGGATTCTTAACTAAAGAAAAAGTTTTTTTCCCAAAAAAATTCATTTCTGCATCCTTGATGCAGTGATAGTAATAAAGTGTGACTTCAAACATCACAGGACATTAATGAAAAAACCCACCACCTAAGTCAAACAACTAATGATAACGACCTTCAGAGTGGTGGATTGCCAAATTCCTTTACATTTCCAAACATAAACAGGCTGCTATCCTAGTGGCAGTGCACTGAAATACCAAGTGCACAAAAAAAACTTAAAAAACAACAAATAGACTAGTAGCACCTTAAAGACTAACAAAACAAGTGTGTAAAAGCGGCGAAGAGTCCTGTGGTACCTTATAGACTAACCAAAGTGTTGGAGCATAAGCTTTCATGGGCAAAGACCCACTTCGTCAGATGCACCTACGAAGTGGGTCTTTGACCACAAAAGCTTATTCTCCAACACTTCGGTTAGTATATAAGGTGCCACAGGACTCCTCGCCACTTTTGCAGATTCAGAGTAAGACGGCTACCCCTCTGATACAAAACAAGTGTAGAATTTGAGTTTAAACCCATTTCTCAGTCATTTGCTTCCCAGGTAAATGACATGTCTTGTGAGGTAAAGAGTATCTGCAGGTATAACAACATTCTGAGAAGAATGAAGGGTCCAATCTTCAGGAGTGCTGAGAATCCACCACTCCAGTTGAAATCAATAGGTATATCTATCCTTCAGGAGACTGAGCCATAGGCATTCAAGACAAGTGGTTGGACCTGGAGTCTAGCCTAATGGCTAGAGTATAGCCTAGTGGTTAGAGTCCAAATGGCAGAACCCAAAGTCATGTCAGAGCCAGAGAATTGGAATCAAAAGGTCAGAATTTGAATACTAGAGCCAAGAACATCACCCAAAGGTCAGAAGCAGATTACCTGGAGTCAAGGTCTATGTCTAGACTTCAGGCTTCTTTCGGAAGTAGCTTTTCTGGAAGAGAACTTCCAAAAAAACCTCTTTCCAAAAGAGAGAGTCCACACTGACAAAACACATCAAAAAAGCAATCTGCTTTTTCTAAAGATAGCGTCCATTCAGTGTGGACACTATCTTACACTTAAGCTGTGATTACTCTGTATGGAGTGGCCACCAGGGCACCTGTGCTTTCTCCTGGAGGCCTCTTCTTTCAAAAGAAAACCTTTTTCCCCATCCACTCGTGCCTTTTTCCAGAAGAACTCTTTCGGAAAAGGCATTCTTCCTTGTAGAAAGATGATTACCAATGTTGGAAAAAAACCTCTGTTCTTTTGATAGAACATGATTGCAGTGTGGACATA